GGGGGGGGGGGGGTGCTGGGATTCAAGGTTGTCACAATGACAGGATCCTGCTGGAACTTACCCAGTGAGGTCTGGGGATGCCAAATGCCCTGCAAGGAGCTAGACAGTCAGGTACACTCTACAAAATATAGTCCTGCCCATGAGAGACACTGGGGAATGTCCCATTTACTTCCCCTGTCTCCTGGTTCCTTAGAAAGCCACTTCCCCAGCAGTCTCCAGGCTGAATGAAGGGGAACTAGACAGCATGCCTCCATCCCAGCCTGACCAATGACGAGGCAATAGTTCCAGGTGAACATGGACCAGGGTGGGAGGAGCATCTCTCTTGCACCCACTTGCTCTGATTCTTCATATATGGCTCTTGTGTCAGTTAGGCTTTTGTGGGTCAAAGGCCTGGAGTTGGGTGGTGAGAATTCACAGGGCATGGACAAGCCTCCTCCTTGGTGCCTGGCGAGAAGTCCCCTGCAGCCCACCCAGTGTAGACTCAACCGCTTTGCTCTGGGTCTGCCTTTCACTTCTGTTTCCAAGTCTCATCTTTTCCTTTGGGCTTTTTTATGTTTTCATCATGTGAAATTGTTTAGAGTAAACATGGCTGAACTCCTCTCTTCTTGTTGTTTTACAGTCGGGAAGACGTCTCTGATCACGAGGTTCATGTACGACAGCTTCGACAATACGTACCAGGTGAGGTCCTGGGTGCCCGTCGCCCCACCACATGGCGTCTGTCTGTAGCCATGACAGTTGCCTGCAGACCATGCTGGTCTCTCTCAGCCTTGCTAACCCTGAGATGAGAGTAGGATGTTCCCAGGGCCCAGGGTGTGTGTTTTGCCTTGAAGGAGCTGCCCATTTGTGCGCTGGCCCCAGTCCACTAATGACCCTGAGCCCTTCTGGACGTCCAAGCCTCGGCACAGGATGCGTTTTCCAGTAGAGAAAGGGCTCATTTCAGTCTGTGTGGTCCTGCTGCCCGTGGGCAGGTCTAACCATTACAGTGTTTGGTTACTTGGGTGAGTCATCACCTGGGGGATGGACAAGGTACAAAATAATGGAGGTGAAAGAGCAGTAGAGGAACTTGCTCCTCGAGCATGGTTATATTTGCTGGACCTCATGCACTTGTGTGCACGCACATCACACACACACACACACACACACACACGGTTGCTGAGGCACTTTCTTCCCTGGAGAGGTTGATGTGATGGGCTTGTACTGCTCTATGTGGGCAGGAGGCTGGACGGAGTGACCTCTGGCTCCTCACTCTCAGAGTGGTCTGATGTCAACCAATATCCCAGAGGTGGCTCCAGGTGGCCCAAAGGCTGAGATCTTGGGGGTCAGTAACATTTCACTTCCCTGGCACCACTGGTGAGTAAGAGGTTTGTACAAATGAAGTGAATTTTCCCTGCAACTATAGCTTTTTGCAAAAAGCCACCAAATTTAATCATTTCAGCTATTTTTAAGAAAAAGGATATTTTCTTTCTCAAAACAAAGACAAATAATAATGGATTTTTCTAGGCCAGTGGGTTCTGTGAAGTACTAGTTCCAAGGGATGTTAGTAGGTGTTATTTGAGAAAAAAAGGCAGGCAGGAAGGTTTACTCCTTGCATAGATTTAGGGAATACAGGTGAACAAAAGTAAATCAACTTACCTACTGCAGGACTTCTCAGGGCCTTTATTGCATCAATGTACGGTTTTGTGCTGAAAGAGGGGTGTAGTGTACAGGATCTCCCCAATGTATCTGGTCATGGAATCTTTTTGTGACCTAGTGCTCAGAAGAGAAATATTTATAGAACACACTGAGGATGGTCCCTCTGCCTTCCTGGACTGACTAAGGATTCGGAGTACAGCCCACTATCAATTACAGTTCCGTGTCTTCTCCTCAGCCTGAGTCTTCCTCTGGACCAGTCATCATCTTTGCCCTATATATAGCCCCTCTGTCTGCCTCTGTCTAATTTCCTGCTTTTCCTCTGCAGTCATCTGAAATGCCAGGTAACTAGTGGACTTGGTAAGAATTGACGGAAGGGTCAGAACATGAGGCCCTGGGAGAGGGCCCTCTGTGATGTGCACAGCCCTGGGCACCAGCTTCGGGATGGTGATCTCAGCCACTGTTTTTGTTGCGTGCTCTCCAGGCCCGGGCTTTGCAGCGCTACAGCCTTACCGGAAGCCTCGCATCCCCAAAGGGGAGTTCTGCCGTATCGGTCAGCATTTGGGAATTCAGTCTAACAGACCTCACTTCTGGAGTCTGACTTAGTGCTCACTTGTTCTGTGTGTGTCTGTGTGTGAGAGAGAGAAGAAGGGAGAGAGAGAGATCTCACATATATTATTTCAATGACTTGATGTTATTGAATATCAAGATATTTATAATGCCTCTTGTTGGTGTTCCGTTGAACACAGTGAGACTCTGGCTGGCTGGTGTTCTTGGCTGTGGTGGATGGTAATGGTGACTTAGGACCTTTGCAGTGGTCCTCATTGGCGTGGATCAACTCCTCCCCATGTTGTCTCAGTCCCTCAAAATCTGAGCCCACCTCTCTCTCCAGTGTTAACTTCCATTGTTCACTGCTTGTCCCATATCCCCCGGCCCCCTGCCTGCTTGCTTCCCCCCACACAGTGACACTGCTCCACCTTGGCTCGTGGAATGCCTCTGCTGGAATGCTCTTCCTTCTCTGCTGTGAAATGTTCTTCTGACTCATCAAAGCTCAGAGCACATGTTTGCCTGTGTTCTACCCCCTCCATGGCTTTCTCTCCCCCAGCATGTTAAGAAACCACGTTAGGGGCTCATTTAGCATCCTGACTCCACAGGAACTCCTATGTGCTCTGGCTCCAGGCTGGGCTCTGCATTCGTGGGCCCAGTACACGGCTTGGCCACAGCTGGTGCCAAGTGCCTCGGAGATCAGAGTGACTTGGAGATCAGCCCTGTCTGCCTTGTTTTTAGACCCCACCAGACTGAGGGGCCACAGAGGTCCTAGGTCAATGTGGTGAGAAGGGGAAAAAGCCCAGGGGGAAGTAAGTGCCTTCCCCAATGCAGGCTTTGCTGACTTTTTTTTCTTTTCCCAGCAGCAGCAGCAGGTAGAATTTCTTTCCCTATACTTTAAAATGGTAATTAGGCTAGGAGGCCAGGGCTCCAATTCTGTGCATACGCAGGCTCATCTTAATGAATTCTCTGGAGATGGAAAGGGGGACATGTTATTTTGTTTGTTTTTCTTAACAAGGTGGTGGAGACATTTGGGAAGTAGACGAGATGGCCAAGGGCTCTGGGGGATGTTCCTAGTTGCCCCCCCCAGCACGGTGACTACTCTCAACCACCCCCCACCACAGCACAAGTTGGGAAACCAGCCTAATGGGCTGCCCCTGGGAGAGGTCCTGGCCTGCTAGAACTTACCCAGCTGCCCCCCAGTTTCTGGACAGTGAAGCTTTCCTGCACTGGGGCACTTCTGGGGTCCCAGGGAGCCTTTGGGAAGGGAACATGATGCTGAGGCCCCCCCTCCCCCAGCCTTCACCAGCAGAGGGGTATCCTGAGGAGCTCTCACCCTTTGGCAATCTGACTGCTCTGCCCCCAGGCTTTCCTCTCTAACTTTCAGGTCTGTATTAGTTTCCTAGGGCCACCATAACAAATTACCACAAACTGAGGGGTGTAAAACAGCAGAAATGATCTTTTCACAATTCTGGAGACTAGAAGTGTGGAGTCAAGATGTGGCAGAGTCACATTTCCTCCAAAGGCTCCAGGAGGGAATTCGTCCTTGCCGCTCCCAGCGTCTGGGGCTGCGGGCGTTCCTCCGGGTGGCGCTGCGTAGCTCTGACAGCCGCGTCCGTCTTCTCATGGCCTTCTCTCGTGTCTCTGTGTGTCCCTCTCTCTACTCATAAGGACACCAGTCATCGGATTTAGGGGCCTCTCCTAAATCCAGGATGATTTTTCATCAGAACACTCTTAACTGGTTACATCCACAAAGATCCTTTTTCCAGAAAGTTCACATTCTGAGGTTCCAGGTGGACAGAATGGGGGGGGGGACACTCTTCAGCCCACTACTGGGCCCTGGCACCTCCCAGTCTAATCCCATTGGGGACCAGACTTTCTGGCCTAGGCCTCAGAATGGTCTGCACCCACCTCACCTTCCAGCATGGACCCTTCTGGGCTCCCAGCCCCCTCCCCCCGGGCTCC